GCTCCTTGCAAATTCCTCATAGGGTTTGATACTCATCTCTACTCCAGCTTGTGTCAGACCGATCGCTACTGGGCGGTTATTGTGCACAAAAAGAACGTATGATTTGATTTTCCTATTTCTTACAGGGAGAGGGGAGGGAAAGAATCTATTATTGGCTGAATGAGCGCCAAGGGTGATCGCTTGTTGTGAGCTGGGCTCCTTCCCCGAGCTGCTGGAACTTCTATGTCCTAAAGGCAAAATGTTTGCCTACCAGGAGGGAAACGCAGCAAGCTGCACAGAAGAACCCGTGTCAACATTTGCCAGAGTCCAAAAAGCTTTCCTAACAAAGACTCCGAATCGTCTTTTAGCTTTTACCAGCGGCAACGGATCACAGGCCAAAAAGCAACTTTTTTGTTCTCCTGCCTCCCTTCCATCGGTATTCTAAACGCGAGGTGCAAAGTTGTATCCGCACATCTGATCAACGGGCAGGAGAACACCCAATTATACTAACCTAGTTGTCTATTGAGGTTGCCTGAGACAATGACCCAGGGCAAATCGGCAAGCCCTGAGATGCTCAGCACCCATTGATATTATTTACATTGTCATTTGCTGCGTTAAAAAAAAGTAGTGAGTGGCTTAGCCTATCCATCTCTTGCTTCCCACACGAAATGAGGGAGAGCCAGCCGTTTGCCTAAGCGTCGTGGTGACGTTACCCGCGACTTGTATTCACTGCAACTGCCCGCGTGTACCCACAAATCAATGGAAACCACCGCTAACCGATCGCGAGGTTTTCATTTGCTGCTCTCTTCATGCACACGCGGGTCACGCGGCCCTGAATAGCATCCCAACCCTCCGCGCCTGGCTGGTTTGTTGTTGTTTTGGGTCCCCTCCCGAGCTGCTGCTAGGAACGCAACGAGGCAAAGTCTAACTCTCTGTGACACGTGAAGCATGAAGGGTCTCCGATCTGTCCACCTGGAGCTGCGTCCCTCAGCCCACGTATGTCTTCACAACACAAGGCGGCGGCAACTCATGAGTAAATAGTTAATACCAGGAGCAAGCAAGGCCAGTTTTCAGAGAAAGAGCAAGAACACCGTTGCATTGGTGGTTAGCCACTCATGGGGCAGCGGGTCGTCTCTGTTAGAGCCCCTGGGCTGCTTTGACAGTAGGAGTAATTATGCTACGCTTGTTCAGACTCCCCCTTCGACTCGCAATCCAACGGGTGATTAAACAATCAAAGCTAACACTGAGTTGCTGGGCTATTTTCTCTACTCTGCCCCCCCCCGACCGCTGACACAACCATTGAAAACTTTGGAACCTAGTTTTAACGAACTAAACAATGCCAAGCAACAAACAAATAGCATAGTCAATTGTCTCGGTAAGTCTGTAATTAAGTTAATTAAATGGGGAAAAAGTAAAAGGAATGACCATACAGACAGCTCCATGATCAACACACTTCTGCTGCGGCTGCTGCCCTGTTTCTGCTCTGCTTTTAAAACAGAAAGAGCTGAAAAGCTGGGGGTGTGGGGAGGTACTATCCCTTCGTTTCACGAAAGTCAAAGAACTTCGTCCTTCGGAGACAGATCTCATTCTGGTCAGTCTATGTTGCAAATATAAAAATATGCCACGAAATAATCGGCACCTGTTTAAAGCTTCAGAGGTGCGTAACAATCTAGCTACTCCGGTCTAAAAATTAGCAAACTTAACTCTTGTCTCTATTAAAGTTAACAAGCCTAGGGATTTTGCCATGCAACATTAGGTATGGATTCTGATGTGAATAATAATTGGCCATCAAAGATTGTTGCTGTGCTTTACAAACACAGCCTCGAAATATCAGTGTCATCTTCATCGACTAAATTTTTTCTTTTTCTAATTGTACATACAAATATATACAATTGAGAAGTAAACGGGTAGGAGATTAAATGAAATATATTCCAAACCGCCTTCATGCGGGAAAAAAACTCGAACTGTTTATTCAAACTGCATATAACATTTCTGAATGTTAGATTGCTTTGGAGAGGCGGCCTAGAAGCCACATAAATAAGAGTTTACTGCAATTACCTTGTATTTATTTAAATGTAATCTTTAACAATGCAACAGCAATTACTGCTAAGTGTTGCCTTTAGATAAGAAGGGCTGATAGGAAACTTTAGGCCCTAAATATCTGTAATCAAATAATCGTCTTTCGAAGTCTGACTGACAGGGCAGCTCATTCGAAGCTAATGAATTTATTACATTTTTCTTAGTTATTTACAAAGGGAAAAGGTGATCCTGACTGCCCTCTAAGATCTAATTGTAAATTGACCAGAAGGCGAGATTCTTTATCTGAGAAGGCATCACCCTTCTCACAGTCATCTATCCTGGTATTTTCTTCTGAGTTGAGAAGGAACTAAATGGAGGGAGAAATACGTAAAAACAACTGTCCCATGCAAAGTCCTCCTAAAATAATTTTATTCAGAAGAGCAATTAGCCATTTTCAACAAAACAACTTTTTTTTTTTAAAAGAGCGTCATAGCTTAGGGCTGAGGTTGGCCTGGGTGGAAGAGGTTGTGGGGTTTTTTTTAATAACTGTTTCATTTTTAAGACAAAGTATTAAAACTGTACTTTTTGAAATGCATAGTACATAACCTGTTTCATGTCTATATAAATATTAGAGACCACAGATCTCTTATATACAATTAGGGATATATTCTAGAATGTCTCCTATATAAAATCTGTACTGTACAGATATAAATACAGATATACACATACGCTACACAGAGGGAAAACGACGTATATAGAAGACAATATTTAAGATATCCCCATCAGCACTCTAGGCATATATTAAATATAGAAAATATTGTAATACTACTATTTTTGGGTCAGATATTTTCCCAGGTCCAGTCCACAGAGCGTTAAGAAAACGCGTTTGTTTATTTGCCAACTTACATCTGCCATGGGAAAGTATTTTTCCTAGCGGATAAAGCGAGCTGACTAAGTGGAACATATTGCAGAAGAGACTGAAAAAGGCCGACCTGGCAGTTTCTAAGCGGTCTTTGGGATTTGTACAGAGAGGAACGAGTTGTTCCATCACCAGTTAGCCATGAAGTCTTTCGATTTAAAAAAAAGTATGAAAGTATCCAGACGTGTAAGGTATTCCAACTGAATGGTAATTTATTAATAAACAAACAATGCAATACCTCATAATATTTTCAAGGAAAAAAGAAAAAAATCGATAGAATAAGATTAATACAGTTTCCCTTTTTATATGTAGTGAAAAAATTCAACGTTTCAGGCACTTTTAATGTCAGTTTTCTGGGGAGGGGGACACTTTCTGGCGTTTGGTCCACAACATCCAACTACAAATTAAAAATAAATTACTATGTCGCAATTTACATTTAAAAACAAGTCCTTGGGTAGGAGGAGGAGGAGGGAAGCTTGTAAATCTATGCTGCATATTTTTGTCCTCTTTTAAACACAGGACATACCTTATGAGATGGGGGAGGGAGGGAGGATTTCGCAAAAGCAATAAAAAAACTTACGTGTTATTTGGAGTAACACTGTCCCTTAACAAACCAAGGCATGACTTATTTTTATATAGTTTTGGCTGTCTCTGTACAAAATGTTTGCCAGTTCGTTGTGGCGTCCGCTGGTTGCCGGAGGAGGCTTGGAGGGGAAATCGGTCTTGGTTTGTTAAAGGCAAAATCTAGTCCTTGCTTGACGTTTGGCCTGGTTAAACAATACGTATTGTTCTGGCGGGTGCGTGTCCAGGGCCCGGCCCGGCCCGGCTTTGGTCAGAACTTGCAGTCGTACACGAAAGTCCCTGAGCTGCGGTAGAGAGGCTGGCTGGAGGGAAAGGCCATCTGAGTGGAGGGGAAATCGGTCTTGGTTTGTTAAAGGCAAAATCTAGTCCTTGCTTGACGTTTGGCCTGGTTAAACAATACGTATTGTTCTGGCGGGTGCGTGTCCAGGGCCCGGCCCGGCCCGGCTTTGGTCAGAACTTGCAGTCGTACACGAAAGTCCCTGAGCTGCGGTAGAGAGGCTGGCTGGAGGGAAAGGCCATCTGAGAGCTGCTGCTATTCCCGTTCACCGGCGAGTTGTTCAAGCCCAGCCGCTGGGACTCGAACATCTCCCGCACCGCGTGGAAGTTCTGCTG